CATCCCCTGGAAAGAAGGAAATATCCTCAGGGGCACCCATCTTAGCCAGGTCCTCGCACAACTGTTCAAACAATGGAAGTTGCTCGATTCCCAGTTTACAAAGGCACTTGACTAAAGCTTCGTGCATGACTTTCTTAGGGTTCTTCCTCAGAAATTGTTTGAGCCACTTGGCTTTGATAGGCTTGCAACAGCAACTTCATGGCTGTCATACGCAACCGAGGCCGAGTTGACCTCCTCTACGGCTGTTGTCATCCCACCTGTGTATAACATCCTCCACTAGAAAGCAGTGCACCACCTGTTGAGATCTTCCTTGGAAATGTGAAGATTACTATACTCCTAGAGTTTTTGATTCAGCTCCTTAAGCTGCGCTGAACCACGGCCAGCTCCTTCTCCTTGGATCGCAGCTGCTAATTTTTCTCTTCGACTACAGGTTTCTCGATTAAACTCTGGTCTCTCTCGGCACGAGCTTCAACTAGCTCCAACCTTAAGTCTCTTGACCTCTTTGTATATTTCATCATCACTGTGCTCATCTGTAAGAACCAAGCAAAGAATATGTGCAACTCATACCAAAATATGAACATTCGGGTGTATAGCACAATGTTAGACGTTTACCATTTTCAGGTCATCAGCCTCAGTCAGAGCAGTAGCAAAATGCCCAACAAGGGACATTCAATTATTGGCGGATCGCCAAAGGTATAAACTGCAGCAAAAGGGCCTCCTGCAAATAGTTCGGCGAGCAGAATGGTTACGTCTTCCTCGAGGGCACCCTTGCCTTTTCCATGGGTGGAGGTTGAGTGCTTGGCCCAGTTTCCTTTACCAGGTGTGTCTCTTTCTCGACGGGTGGTGGCACTATAGGTTCCTCGAGAACAGAAGGGATGGTCTTCTCTCCCTCATTTGCTGGTTTTGTTTCCTTCGAGACGAAAACATCAGTCTTGGATTTCTTGGTGTGGGGTCCCTTCTCGGAATACTTTGCGTTCCTCTTCTTCTTTTTCACTTTCTCCACCATTGTTTTCATCGTGGACTTTTCTTCATCTGGGTTCACAACGTTAAAGAAGTCGGAATCACCATGTAGCCCAGGACCGGCATTTCTCGACGACATGACCTAAAAATAAAGAGATAATAAAGAGATTAGTACCTTTCTGCTCCTCAACAAGGTTATCGAGGGTATCATTAACTTCCTTCTCTTCGACGGGAACAACGGGAATGAAATGCTGCACAGCGTCCCACTTAACCACTTTGGAGTACTTCTCGAATTTCTTTAAGTCCTAGGCGAACTCTTTAATCTTTTCTTTATATTCGTCTGTCCAGTCATCCTTTATTGCCTCAAATCCATGGGTTCTTGATGATTCCAGGCAACACCATACTTTTAAGACGCCTTTAGGTACAGAAAGTTCGGTTTCCATATAGGGGAACCCCCGTATGCCTCTACTATCTTCTTGGCACCTGAGTTGGGGTTCTTCTTCACAATATATCAAACTTGGAAAGATGTCGAGGCCATGGATACTTTAAAGAAATATCTCCACAGCAACAGATACGGTTTCACTTTTACCCATTGACATATTTTCACAAAACCGAGAACGTATGTTATCAGATTTGGTGTGAATCGTGCCAAGGGGGTTTATAATGTTGCACAATCCCCTCAAACAAAGGAAAAAGGGGGAACCTCAACCCTAAATACATAAAGCGATCATGGATCGTAATTTTTTTCTTGTGGAGGAGTATTGGCCCTCTCGGTTCCTAAAGGGGCTCTGCCTTCTAGATCTAGGGGCAAGTCATATTTCGTCTTCACAGATTTTACCTTTTCATCGGAGTCTATGGTGGACACAAAATCGTCGACAGATTTTTATTCCGGATTCCTAGCCATAGCTATCTACTTACAGCAATAAATCGATCTACAAATTCATTCGCCTTACTGCTGGAATAAGTTTCCATTCGCCTTTTGAGTTGTAGCCACCTAGGATTATAGAGATTCTAGCGGCGGCTTCTGCAAGTGTTCCGGCAGTAGAGACAAATAACCGGGGCAATTAAAAGGATTGCCGGCGTTTGAATAGTGAATCTCGAGTTGGTCTCTCCCAGGAAGTTACAACTATTTCTGGAACGGAGGCGGAGAAAAACTAGAGAGGATTTTTGTGTTCAACGAATGAAATGGGGGGATTAATCTTCTCTCGCTTGATTTTAAAAGGAAAAAAAAGGAGCTATGTACTCCCACGATGTGATGGTTTCTCTATTTTCAAGGAGACCAATGGCCGTTGTTTGGGAAACGTGCGGAGTAATGGGGCATGTCTGCACCCATTTAGGCGGGATTCCATCGGGTCGCCTTCTCAGGATCTCGGGTTTATTCTGGACTAGCGAAATATTTCGTTAGGCCTGCTTGATGCAACATGGGCTGAATCTTTTCCACTCAACTTGGGCCAGGTTCAGGTACCATTTATTTTGTATCAAGTCTTATTTATTTCATATAATTAACACTTGATAGGGGCACTTGACAAGTCCATATCCACCACCGAAACTGGACCGGCCCATCTGTCGAGTAAAGGGTCCAACCGACTCTACTAAGGCAGTTAAGTAACACCAAACCTAGTAGGACTCAGAGTTCTTCCAGGCCTATAAATAGGGATGATTATTCCACAATTACGGTACGCTATCTCTGACACCAATTTGTATAATACAGAGATCCCCTTAACCCTATTTTCTGACTTAAGCATCGGAGTGTCTACCCTCGGGAGACTCCCGAGGCTCTATTTTGCAGGAAACCCTACCGGAGTTCCACTATAAAGTCGGCGACACAATTCTAGGCTTCGTCAATCGGCATGATTCCTGTCCCGCCAGAGATCATGGCCAATTTCTTGGCAAACTTTTGTTTGCCATGCACCAAGAAGTTCCTTTTGCCTTTGTACTCAATGTGGCCTAATGGACCCTTCACTTCAAGAGTGGATCCCAAAGGAAGTGAATCCAAATATTGTGACATTAGCCCTCCATTTGGAAACCTGGGGTGCACCTCTTTGAAGTATACCTTCACCACCCACTCAAAGTAGCCTACTTCTTGAATACCGCTGGTCGGGGTATACGCTTGCATACATAGCTTCTCATCAATGTTAGCACAGATGAAGATGTGCTTCCCAACAGGTAATCCGAGTACTTGATCTTCCGGGGACAGCGTGAATCGGAACTTTCTCACATCATGTGAAAGTGATGTCTTTGAGACAAGTTTGCATGGTATCTTCTGACCTGGAATGAGTGCCACATTTACTGTTGGTGCAACTTCAGTAATTGGAGCCACTTGAGCAAAAGCAGCTGAAGCTCCATGCACTGAGTTTTTTTTTTTTTTTTTGAAACAATGCACTGAGTTGTTTGGAGATGATGTCGACGAATCTGAGGGGAATCCAATGGTGTTCAACTCACCAATCCTGAAATCTTCCAAGAGCTTTCTGGCCTTATCAGAATGAATGGCATCAAACTCTTAAGTACAATCCGTGCCGGCATTGATCAGGATACTATCACTGCCTCATAAACATGGCCATGAACAACAATCCAAGCAGAATTAGCCGAATGGTGATTTCTCATCGATCATGTTCACTTTGCTTATTTTTGGATGATGGAAATGAAGAATCCTTCATATTTTGCGATGAGGGTTGACTCAAATACGGTGGAGAATTTGCATATTGGGACCAGATCGCTATTCCATTGCTTGTACCTTAAATGTCGGGATAAAAAAGAATTGATATCTGAAGCATTCAAATTGTTTTCCTGCTAGGCAATTTGTTTCAGGCCAAAGCAGAACAATTTTTTTTTTTTTTTTTGGGTATGTCTCTATTTCTTCTGTAGCCTGTGTTGAGATTACAACTCCTCTGCTTTGGCAACATTTGTAAAGATCGATCCCTTTTGCATTAAATGTAAATATTCACTAGGTTTTACATTGTCTTCCACAGTTCCACACTTCCACTAGTGTATAAACTATAAAGTTCCAAGTTCAAATCATATATGTCGGCCTGTCACGGCTGAGAAGTGAGAATCCATAATTACTTAAAAGGTTTTCAACCACAGGAGTTAGAAACTCTTATCTCATTTTGGCTCTTTCTTTATATCGAGAAAAATAAGCTGTCTTTTCTTTTCTCTTTTCTTTATATCGAGAAAAATAAGCTATCTCATTAATTTTTTCTTTTACCTAATGCGCTATTAACTCAATTAAGAAGCTGCCGGCTGGGGTTGTTTGGTTCCTATACAAAATTCATTAACGAAAATATTCCGTCCAAATTTTAGGTTGTTAGGACTTGGGAGTATTTGATCAATAAATTTTGTAACAGTACATGTAACCACCAAAGTAGTATCTAATAAAGCTAACAACGGATTAGGTAGAAAAGCCAAAAAAAAAAAAAAAAAAAAAAAGTAGGACAACTCGAATACTCGATGAACAGTGAGTGGAAGTGTAACAACCCACCCTTACTAAAAAAAAAATGCCCAAATAGCTGCTTATAAATCACGTCACTGGAATGCGAGATTTAGGGCTTATAAATCTATCTTCTGAATCTTCGGACAAGGGCACCAGTATTTTTGTTAGCACATTTTGAGAAATCATCATTAACCATCATTAAGGGCATCCTCAATGGTTGTCTATGAGGGAATTTATGATGAAGAGTGGCCAACTGTTAATACATAAATTGGTAAAAACTCAATGAAGAGAAAGTTTATAAATATAAATTAAGAATGAGAGAAGAGATGTGGGGTGAAATATTAAATGTTGTAGAAAAAAATTTACAAAATATTAATATCTGATATATTTATTCAATCAATGGCCCACTTTTTTAGTTTATGTGTATGAACTAGTTTATGATTGAAAATGCTCTAACGTAAAAAAATTTAAGGTACTTTGGTTGTTAAGTGTAATGTAAAAAGGGGTGGATTCCAGCTGTATTTTAGTGGTAGGACCTTGGGCACGCACTTATTGAATTTGAGAAACCCAATCTTGTGTAGCAAGTACTTAGGTCCGCATCGGGGGTGAAATTAGAACTAAAGAGTAAAACCCTCATCACCTTTTAACTCTTCTCAATCCATTCTCTTCTTCTTCTGTTTCATTACACACACACTTATTGCAGAAGGAAATTAAGGAGAAAGAGAGTCCGAGAGAGAGAAAAAAAGATGCCTTATATATTTGATCCTTTGGACATCGTAATCCTGGACCACCGCAAGGAGCTTAAGTGCAGATACCTTCAGGTGTATATTGCGAATAACACATTGTTTACAGAGCAAGCGCGTAACAAAAGGTTTCTAGAGCGTGAAAGCTTGCCGGTCCTCCTCGATAATCAGAAATATTTCATGAAGGCGAAGAACGAGTCCAAGTACCTCACCGATATTGTTGACAAGGTTGAGGAAATCCTTTTCGATCCTGATCCCATCGATCTCGTCGATATTTTATGGATTTATGTGGTCGCCCCCTCAAAAGGTTCTAAAGATTGCGACGTCTTCCTTTGGTTCTCGTCCGGAAGGTCATGGAATTTGGTGCCCATACGTAGGTATGTGGAAGCATGGATAGACGCAGATGATAATTATGAATTGAGGAACTTTACTGTGATAAACAGTTTCAGTGATGTCACTGCTAAATATTTATGCATTCGGAAGTATTGGGATAAGGAGCTGGATCAACCGTTGGGAAAAGGAGCGTTTGGAAAAGTGTTTCAAGGGACAGCTAAGTAAGTTAATTCTTGTTTCAATTTCTTTTCTTTTCTTTGTTATTCCGGAATTGTGGTTTCGGAAGCACTAAACACAATTTGATTATATAGGACCTCTATAAATCAATACACTAATTAATCGCGATTCAAATGATAGGATCGGCGATCCAGAATCTCGAAATCGATCCTGAATCGTATGTGCTCGTTTGAAATCGGTGGGATCGGATGATTCCGTCGATTTTGTCGATCCCCTTACAAATTTGTTGATTCCGTAGGAAAAAGAAAAGGGGAAAAAACTTTTAAATTTTTTAATTAGCTTGGTCATGAATCTGATTTTCATCTGGACGAACATGAATGATGGTCGATGGACTCATAACTCATTCTTGTTTTTTTTTTTTTAAGAAAAAAATAAAATACAATAAAAATTGTGTTGTAACGTTTTCTGATCTGATTAAAACATATTTTTCTGAAGTTATGGATCCGGTCATGGAGAGACCTCGTCTCAGAAGTTTCCTTTACTGCGAAATGCCATCTTAAAGCTTCCACAGTTTACTTTCGCGGCAAAAAGAGTACCTCTTTTTTCCGAAGAACAGGTTTATCAACTTCAACAGGTGTGCCAAGCTTGATATTCTCGGTTCATATCTAGATGTGTCATTGTGTCCTGACTTTGAGTTTAATGGTCCTGATTATTCTTTACTCTGCAGGAAATTGAAATTCTGAGCGGGATAAAACATGAGAACATCGTGGAATGTTATGGAAGCCTTGAGGTACTCCCCTTCTTTGGTTGATAATTTCTTTACATTTGGTTAAAATTATAGTATTGTTTTTTTAGATTAAAAAAATAAAATAAAATTATAGTGGTCATAAGCTCGGAGCACACAGTTTGTTGTTTTAATTTCAGTTGGCACTTATACTGTTGTAGTAAATGTATGCTTTGCTCTTCTTGGAAAGATCAGTTTTGTGACAGCTTTTTAAGTTTCCATTTGTGCTTTGTACCGCCTTACTATTCAACACAGAGCAAGATATCTTATGTTGCTGTTTCATGTTGTACAGAATGGAGGATATCTTTACATGTTCATGGAGTATGCGCCTGGAGGATCACTTTTAAATTTTTATAAACGGAATAAGCTTGAAGAATCGATGGTCTCTGCCTATATGAAATGTATTCTACTTGCGTTGGTTCACATTCACGATAAAGGTGTTATTCACAGGTAATCAGAAATCTGTTCTCTCTTTTATTATCCACGACAGTGCAACTTTTATCTTTTAAAGCTTTCTACTGAATGATACAACATAGTGACTTATGGTTTCAGAGCTATAAGTTTTGTTTCTGGTTTACCGAAACCCTTGGCGCGCTATGGACAATTATGATGATTTTAATTTTTTTGGCTCAGCATGTATCTTTCTTCATGTAATTCATCTAATATAGTAAGAACTTGTGTCGTTGTAGTATTGTACATATTAGAAACTAAGACAAGGATATGAAAACATAGGAGAACTAAGACCAAGATTGAAAGACTCAATGCTTCTTCATTCTGATTCTCTCTATTAAATAGATGAATACAAACTAAGATATTTTCAGGTTCACTATCGTCTAGGCTAATTTCTCTCTTACTATAATTACATGCTATTGACTAGGCTAAGGTTAGGCTATTTTTACTCTACAATTTAGTATGGAAAGGCTGACCTCTGGGCTAGACTCATTTAACTCATTAAAGTTCTAATTAATGGTATAATTCTATACATGATAACATCCTCCTCAAATTGATGCTGGAGGATCGGAGAACATCAATTTGCCGACAAGATAATCATGACGAGGCCCAAGGAGAGACTTGGTTTACACATCAGCAATTTGCAAACCTGTGGAGGTATGCAAAAGAGTAAGAACACCAGTATTATAGCTTCTCGAATATAATGGCAATTCACTTCAATATGTTTAGTACGTTCATGGAACACTGGATTAGTAGCAATTTGGATAGCACTTGTGTTATCTGCATGGAGAAGAGTAGGAGTAGATTGAGGAAATCCAAGTTCAGCTAGTAACCCCCTTAGCCAAGTAACTTCAGAACAAGCAGCAGACATAGCCCGATATTTAGATTCCTGTAAAAAACTTGGAAACAAAGATTCTCCTTGAAATCAAAGATTCTCCAAGAAACATACACCAACCTGTGACAGCGACGCGTATTTGGACAACCAACCCAATCAGCGTCACTAAATGTTGTAAGTTGCATAGAAGACCCCTTAGGAAAGAATAAACCACGAGATGAAGTTCCCTTAAGGTATCGTATGATACGACGAATGGGTGCCAAGTGAAGATGACGCGGTGAATACATAAATTGACTAACTTGTTGGACAACAAAGGAGATGTCAGGTCTGGTGATAGTCAAATAGTTCAAGCTGCCAACTAATTGACGATACATATATGGATCCAAAAGTGGCTCTCCTTCTTCAGCATAGTACTTGATATTCACTTCCAAAGGTGTATCAACAGAAGAAGAATCTTGAAGACCAGCTAGAGCTATCAGATCTTGAGTATATTTATGATGATGTAGAAATAAACCCGAAGGTCCAGAATGAATTTCCAGCACCAAGAAATATGTAAGATTACCAAGATCCTTCATGTGTAAGGAGTCTCGAAGATGCTGTTGAAGCTGATCAATCAACATAGAATTTGTTCCTGTTATGACAATATCATCTGCATACACTAAAAGGAGAACAATTCCTGTCGAAGTCTTATGCAAAAACAATAAAGAATCATATTGACTTTGCACAAACTTAAACTGAAGCAAAGTGGATCTGAATTTCTCAAACCATGCCCGAGGGACCTGCTTCAAACCATATAATGAACGATTCAACTTACGAACTTCCTTTGTTGAAGACGAAAATAAACCAGGTGGAGGTGTCATATAAATCTCCTCTTTGAGATCACCATGAAGGAAAGCGTTTCTTTACATCCATTTATCGAAGCGACCAACCTTGTGAAGCAGCAATAGAAAGAATTGTTCTCACAGTAGTCATTTTTACAACTGGTGCATATGTTTCTTCAAAGTTTACCCCATATTCTTGCCGATTACCCAAAGCAACCAGCCTGGCCTTATAGCATACCAAAGTCCCATCAGAGTTTCTTCACAGTTTACCCCATATTCTTGCCGATTACCCAAAGCAACCAGCCTGGCCTTATAGCATTCCAAAGTCCCATCAGAGTGGAGTTTTACGAAGTAAACCCACTTACATCCAATAGCTTAGTGTTGGGTGGACAAGAGACAATATCCCATGTGTGATTTTCTTGAAGAGCTTGCAGCTCCTCTTGCATTGCTTGCTGCCAACACTCATGCTTAATAGCCTGTGAATGAGATGAAGGCACCAAAAAAGAGGATAAAGAAGGACTAAAGGATGTATGAGAAGCACCATACCAATCAAGAACACGAGAAATTCTGGTAGAACGTCTCAAAGTAAGCGTGGGATCAAGTATCGCAGTAGGATCAGGAAGGGGTAGTGGCTGTGGACGACATTGATACACACAACCAGGTTTGAACCTAGTAGGAGTAGTGGAGGACAATTCATCAAGGCTAGGAAGAGTGGTAATGTCAAGAGATTGTGGTTCACTAGTGGGGGAAAAATATTGATTCTCAAAGAAAATAACATTGCAAGAGACTCGAAATCTTTTAGAAGTCAAATCATAGCAAACAAAGCCTTTTTGATTGGGACTATATCCCATGAAAGCACACTTAACAGCTTGGGCAAAAAATTTATGATGTTCATGAGGAGGCAAATGAACAAAACAAACACAACCAAATGTATGAAGATGTGCATACTGAGGATGTTGTTGATGAAGACAAAAATAGGGAGACTCAAGATTTAGTTTTTGAGAAGGCAGTCTATTAATAAGGTAAACCGCCATAGATAAAGCTTCTATCCAAAATCTTGCAGGGACAGAAGCTTCAAGTAACAAAATACGAGCAACTTCTAGAAGATGACGATTCTTTCTCTCAGCCAGACTATTTTGCTGAGGTGTATGAGGACAAAAACGTTGAGAAAGAATGCTTTTTTCATTTAAGAAATCATGAAATGCTTTAGACATGTATTCTCCACCAGAATCACTACGTAGAGTTTTAATGACAACAGAAAACTGAGTTTCAGGATAGGCGACGAAAGTCTTGAATAGAGAAAACTTTAGATTTGGATTGTAGAAAATAAATCCAAGTAAAATGACTATGGTCATCAGTAAATGTGACGAAATATTTATAATGAGCGTGAGAAGTGATTGGAGTGATCCCCCACATATCACTGTGAACAATATCAAAGCATTTTTCTGCACGACTACCAAAAAGAGGAAAAGGCAGAATTGTACTTTTGCCTAACTTACAAGAGGAGAAATGTAAGGAACTTTGAACTGAAGCTTTCTCACCTAAGAAACCAGATTTCAACAAATTGGATAGTATAACAGAACTAGGATGCCCTAAACGTTTATGCCATACTTTGCCTTTATTGGGAATAACAGAACAAGCTAAAGAGACATGACTAGGAATACTTAAAGGAAACAATCACCCCACCTTAGGCCCCTTCGCGGTTACCTTCCTTGATATCTGATCCTGCACAACACAACCAACACGAAAAAAATGAACATTGTAATTATTTTCCACAATTTTTCCAACTCACAGAAGATTATCATACAGCCTGGTGCTATAAAAATATTTTTGAAAGTAGGAGAAATATCACCGGTAGCATTAATAGACAAGTTTTCTCCATTGGCAACTTGGATAGTTTCCATACCATGATATGGCTTAACATTCTTTAGCAAATGGGAGGATTTGTCATATGATTCGTAGTTGCAGAATCACAATACCAAGGTTTAAGTGAAGATTTACTCTCACCTTAAAGGCCTAGGGCTGAGAAAGTTGAAACTATCATCTGTTGCACCATTTCTGGAGTAATGACAGAAGATTGAACATCTGAATTCCCTGGTATTGTAGTCGGGAATGCATTTGAACCTTGAGGAGCAGAAGAAGTCTCAACAGTTGCTTGAAATGCAGTATTTTGTCTATTCTGAGGGCGAATAGTGCACTGTTTGAGGATGTGCCCGGTTTTTATGCAATAATTGCAGAATTTCTTGGAACAATCTGCAGCAATATGGCCAAAATTCTTGCACTATAACACTGAACATTACTCATATCTCTCTTGCCCTTTCCATGAGCCAAAAATGCCATTTGGTCAGTAGTTGTGTTATCTTGATCCAAAGTAGATTGTGTAAGAAGTCGTCGTTCTTCACGAAGCAATTCTCCAAAACACACTTCCAAGTTAGGAGGTCGATAACGATTCATTAGACTAGACCGTAGATTCTCAAACTCTGGCCGTAGCTTCATCAAGAATTGATCCCGCTTGCTAATCTTATGAACTTCCATTAGACTAGCGAGAGAATCTTCAGACACTTCAGCATAAACAATTTCCGAGTATTCAACCCACAGATTTTGAAAACCAGATAAATATTCTTGAATGGATTGACCTCCTTATGTGTAATTTGAGATATCACACTCCAATTGAAATCTCTTGGCTGAATTGGGTCGGTTGTAAACCTTTTTCAGAAACTCCCACATCACTTTCGCAGATTTGTAAGGACGCAAATTGAGAACAATAGATGGATCACATGAACCTGTAATCCAAGACATCACTCTAGCATCCTTGTTCTTCCATTGTACTAATTGAATGGCATCTTTTGAGGCTGGGTTGGTGCCATCAATATGTCCTCATAGTTCTTTTCCAGTAACATATAGCTGGAATTGGAATTCCGATGTTGAATAATTCTTTCCCGTAAATTTCACACAGAACTCAGAGTTGCTACCAGCCATTTTATCAGCAAAAGCAACATGAGTTTTCCAAAAGCTCCCCAAGAAAAAAAAAAAAAGAAAAACAACACCAAGAATAACCAAAAAAAACTCTAGAATTTCTAGAGCAAACTAAGAATTTGAACCAGAAAAAAATTGAAAAAAAAAACCCAGGAATTTCAGAGTTGGCTCGACACCATATTAGAAACTAAGACAAGGATATGAAAACATAGGAGAACTAAGACCAAGAATTTGATTGGAAGACTCAATTTCTCTTCATTCTGATTTCCTCTATTAAAGAGAAGAATACAAGTTAATATATTTTCAGGTTCACTATAGTCTAGGCTAATTCCTCTCCTACTATAATTACAGGCTATTGACTAGGCTAAGGTTAAGCAATTTTTACTCTACAATTCAGTATGGAAAGGCTGACCTCTAGGCTAGACTCATTAAACTTATTAAAGTCCTAATTAATGGTATAATTCTATAATGGTAACACTAAATACCTCTCTTCTTATTTGCACAGACAGTGCAGAAGTATAATACTCACTATCTCATAAAAAGAGCCCTACTTCCAAACTTTTTCTTGTCTTTAAAACCACAATAAGCTGTTCGGATGAATGGTTCTACTCTAATCAAGTTGTTTGAACTTAGTGTATGATTCTCTGATTTTTTTGAACTTCAATGGCATCCTTACTAGGGACATCAAATGTGCAAATATACTGAAATATTCAGAAAAACATGTGAAACTCGCTGATTTCGGGCTTGCGAAGGTCATGACTCCTTTCTTCTCAATCATGTTGTCCCTATCCTTTCTATTTTATTTGTCCATGAGAACATTTTAGACTGCTGCATCTGTCCTGAAAGTGCCGATTTTTCAATTTAGCAGGCCGCCAATGAGGATAAACCACGCCAAGGAAGTCTATTTTGGATGGCTCCTGAGGTTTGTAGCCTTACTCTTTACCAATCTCTCACATTCGTTTACTACATTTTTTTTTTCCTTTTTGAACTCTTTGTGCACCTAGCAATCCTTAGGTTGAGCAAATCAACTAACTTGAGCAAATAATGAGCTCCATGAGACAAACAAATAAATTGTTGTTTCATCTCTCGCTCCTACTTTGGTATACTAATTCATGCAATATGTATCTTTGGGATAACTCTACAAAAATTTCACAGCTTGCTTTCTTATTTGATGATTAATCCTTTTTTATGCAGGCCGCTAGAAATGGGGGATATTGTTGTGTATCTGACATATGGAGCCTTGGTTGCACTTTCGTAGAAATGGTTAACGGGAAGTTTCCATACATCAACTTGAACAATGCTGTGAGTTTAATGTTTCTCCCTTCATTTGTCTATCATTTAGAACTACCTCTGCCCCACAAAAATTGTCCAATTAAAAACAACTAAAATTTAAAAATTAGATGACTTAATCTTGTACATTAAAAAATTAATATGAAATAATTATTTATATCAATTTTTGAATAAGTTTTAGATTATACCAATCCGATAAGTTTCCAATTTAAAATTTAGTTTTTAAAATTTGGATTATTTTTCTTAGTCAAAGGGAGTATTTTTTTGGGTTATGCTATTTGAAGCCCTCTAAAACCTAGGTAGCGCCTCCTTATGACCGATTTACCCCTAGCATAAAATTAAACCCACAAATCATTTTCTACCTCTTCTCCAAGTTCTCTCAAACTCTAAATAAAAAATAAAAAAAATTGTTAAATCCGGACGCTATAGTAATGGATGATCAAATGAATCATGGTGGAGATGAAGACTTATGGGCAAATGAAGTAATGTTTCTCACTTTTTTTAAATATTTTTCATTTCAAAATCAATTCAAAAAAGAAAGAAAGAAAAAATGTTCCTGGCCGGTCGGCGCCCGGCGATCGCGTCCAATCGGTAGTTCCGGCGTTCAAAAGGAGACGCCATAATTGTTGGACGAGCCGATGTCTTGAACATCTAGTTGGGATAAATAACGTCGGTTGTGGACGCTTCCACCGACACTCAAACGCAAATTCCAGACGCCTTAACGGCAGCCGTCCATGTTTTTTTTTTCTGAAGCCAGAACCAAAAGTTCTTCCGCCAAAGGAGAGCTTCGCCCGACGATGCCACACGCCAATTCTATTCAAAGGAATTAACAAAATTCTTGAAAAAAATTGAACATTGAATAAACTTAAAAGAACTCCCCTCACCCCTGTTTTTGGCCGGCGGCGTGACAAACGAAACCCTTTTTTGTTTCTGTTTTTTTTTTCTTTTTCATAATTTTGGAAAAAAGAAATTTAAACGAATTGATTTACTAATGAACCTTTGTCTCAATCAACACTTTTCAATTCTTCATTGTTACAACCACCGAATTGATGAAATTATTCTTTTTTCTTGTTGGGATTTGAGAGAATTTGCACTAGAAGAATCCTAGGTTTTTGTGTCTTAATTTTATGATAGGGGTAAAATCGTCTAAAGGGAGCGATACCTAGGATTTAAGGGGGTAACAAATAGCAGCCCACATTTTTTTTGTCCCTAGTGTCTTAGTTTTTCAAACAAACATTTAACTGGCTACATTGTTTAGGGTAAAAAAAAAAAAAGGTTGATTCTTTTGTTAATTAATTTCCTTCAATTTCATACATTTTACATTGTTCTACTTAGTTAGTATGTAGCTGCTAATAAGGGACTGTCATAATACTTGTTTCTGCATATGCTTGGTTATTAATGGTTGCAATAAAGATCCACTCCGCAGGGTTATAATTGTAAGTACTAGTTGCGGAAATTCAAGATAGTAATCAAAAAGCTTGTTTAAAATAATATGAAATAAGCAACTGATTAAGAGCTGAGAAACTGCTAGCATGTTTTCGGATTTGATAAGCCCTTGGAATGGGAAACCAATTAGTTAATGTTTATGACATGCTTTGGTTTACCTTGGTGTGATGGTTTGGTGTCTATATAGTGTTTATGAATTAGAGAGTATACATATACATATACATATGCATATACATTCATACATATACATACATATGTATATATATCAAAAGAAAATGTTATTCTTTGATATTGAATTCTAAAGAGAGAGAAAAGAAAGGGAAAGAAAACTATGTACCTCTTTATATCTGCATCGTAATCGTTCGAGACTAAAGTACAGATTTTTTTATATACTTATAATTTTCCTTTCTCCATATTATTGAAATATATGTTTCCATATTGTCATGAAACGAACAGGTCGAAATCGAGAGGGCGATCAAAGAGGGTAAACCACCGAAAATTGAGAATGATGATCTCTCTAATGATGCAAGGGATTTTATTGGCAAGTGTCTACAAGCTAACCCAAACGACCGGCCAACTGCTGCTAAACTATTGAAACATCCATTTTTAATGCGTAGCCAGCATCTCAACAACCAATCATTGCAGCTGCCGAAGTCCATGGGCAACTAATTTTGAAGCTATGTTGTTTCAAAAAAAAAATAAAATTCAAAGCTATGTTGTTTGGTCATAGACTTTTGTAATTGTACTTCATCCTTAACTCTTTCTCTACTTTTTTTTTTTTGTGAAACAGAACGACATATTCTTTGTTTTTATTTTTGGTGTCTCTTGTTCGGTTTGCTTAATTGTGGATGGTGGTGATTGGGAATTCTATATATTCGACAGCGTCAATGTGGAATTCTTGAATTTGCCTATTGGTGGCAGACCTTTTATGTTCTCGTGTTCAACATAAAATAAGTGTATGACACAAAGTATGCAGATTGTTTTCCGGTTTGGCTTTGTTTCATGACAAATCACATGCATGGGGGCTCTTGGATCGAATAACTACTCTTATCTTTATCAAACTATCCTTGGAACCATTTCAATGGGCTTAATTAAACAGGAGTTTGAAGTCTTTTTTAATTTTTTTTGATGGATTTTAAGTCTAAATAAAAACTAACTAATGGTTTAAAAACCGTAACCAAAACCATAGCCTTTTGGTTTGGATTTGGTTCTCATAAATGAAGAATTGGACCGAAATTGGCAGACCAGTTCTGGTTAGAACCATAGAAAATATAAGTAATCATACTTAAATTAATTATTAAAAGATATGAAAATAAAGATATAAAAATCATTTCCAGTTAATCTTTTACTATGTCATCACTCCTAAACCTAATCAAGTTTAATTAAAAAAAATTAAATCAAACATTTCCTCAATCTTTGCCATGTATAAATGAATGTCATCTATGGTTAAAAAAAAAACTTTCAAAAAGAAAATAAAAATCATAAAATATAACAAACATCAAAATTATAACTAAAATGAAATCTGAAACCAAAACCACAATCGAACTCAAAACCGAAACCCAAAACCGTCTCAAACCATAACCGTTGAAACCATCTCTTAAATGATTCGTTTATGGTTTCATCTATCTTACGGTTCTGGAATTGTGGTCAAGGCTCATTCCCCTTCCAAAATTTGACATATGTCAAACTTTCAGTGTTCACATGGGGTCTTTCATATTTTTATAGATTACGAGAGATTTTTTGCATATATAAAAATAGAATTTTAGAAAACATCCATAACTTTAAAATACTTTTATCTCTTATTCCATTTAAAATTTTAAAGATAGTTGAAGCAAGGCAGAAACCAATAATTACAATGTTGGAGGAAATCAGAACCTATTTGATGTCTGAAATCCAGAAGAGGGTGATTGAATTAAAACTTATCCTTTGTTGTCCTCATGTTATCAAAGAAATAATAGATGACACTATTAAAATGTCAAGGCTATGGAAGCCAACTAGTAATGGTAAAGATGAATATCAAGTTGAAGGGTTTTCTAAACAGTTTGTTGTGTACTTTGGTAAACAGACTTGCTCATGTTGAGTGTGGCAACTTCGAGGTATCCCTTGTGTTCATTCAGTGCCTTGCATTCTAAAACAAGGGGGTGAGATTATGGACTCTGTCCATCGTTACTACTCCCGAGAAAACATGATATGGCTATATGATGATATCCTTTATCCGAATGATTATATGCATCGGTGGCTCTAATCAGACATATTCAAAATTGACCCTCCAATTGCATATAAGTGAAGTGAGAGACCTACTACAAAAAAGGTTGAAGATTACCAGATTTGTTTTATGAAGATGGAGTAGAGAAGATGAAAAAACATGTAAAGATGCATTGTCATTGATGTCATGGTGACAATCACAATACCAGAACATGCACCAGCGATCCAATTCGGTCAAAAGTCCATGATAGCATCACAAAAGCACCAGAGCAGGTTTGCAATATTATTTTTCTTATAATACCACGACATTATCTCCTAGATATTTTTCTAGTCACTGAATTTTTTTTTAATTTCCGGATTAGGTCATTATGTTATGATGATATTCTAAGTGAGTTTTGTTTCATCATGAACATAATGATACTGGTGCACCCACTGGCAATATGAATAATCAACCTAACGAAAGAAGAAGACCAAATGCAGTAGATTGTTTTCTCCTATGTTATCTTAATTTTGTGCAGTTGCAACTCCTTAAAATTTACATCGTATTTTAGGGTCGAAGTCCAAAGTCAAGACCACCTCCATCATCCGATGTTCCGATTCAATCTCTCCAAATGAGTGGTACTGTAAACCAATCTAGTGATCCAGTTCAGAATGGTGCACATCAGGTAAAACCCTGACTTGGAAATGATTTATTAGCCTAACTATATATTATCATTGATCATAACCGTTTTTTTAATATACTGAACAATTGTATACCTCATTCTATAATATGTAAGAAGATCAAGTAGGAGGATATCATCAAGGAATTCCAGTAATAACCAAAACCAACCATCTAAAATTGGTGTCACTAGACCCCCACATGTGAAAAATGTTTGGAGGAACACTTTAATAAGTACTTACGAAATCTTAAGTTTTAGGATTTGGTTTAGTTTGCTAAGTGCATGTCGTAACTTATTTTACAGTCTCAACAGGTTCCTACATCAACTAGAGATGGTGATGGCTTGAAACCAAGAGCTATAACATGTCCATTAAGAAGAAAAGACCATTGAACAAATGCCGATAGGATACGAATCAATTTAAATGCTGAGTACTTGGGAAACTATCCATCTTACAAGATTTGGTCGGTGGAAGAGGACCAAAGCCACCCGAATTGGGATGAGGGAATACTAAGTAAAGGTTGTCTTTCAAGATTAAGTATTTTCTTTTGGGAATTATGATGTCATTATAAAGTTGCTCATACATGTGAAAGTATTTTGTGAACTATAATATGGTACTTTGTATGCATATTTGGACACCCAAGTTTGTGTTTTAAGTTATGTAGGATATTGCTTGACGAAGTCAAAACCTGTAGGACGGCCATAATTATGAATTAGGATTTAGAAAGAGTAGAAAATAAAGAGAATATTATTATTGAGTTGCGTAGATACAACTTACCCAAATAGGGGAAAGACCAACCATTTATATAGGGGTGGATTACATAATTAAGGTGGTTCCTAGTTGGAGTAGGTTTACTAATAATAGGTAATTTACAATAAGGTTGTGGCTTAACTTCCAAGTAACCCGACCCAATACTATTAGGGCTAGGGTTTAATTTCAGATTCTTCAAGTGCCTCTAGCAAACCATAATTCTGAGACTTGATGAAAGAGATATAGGTTACTATAAGTGTTGGAATCTCGTCATGATGCCCCAGTTCTCAAACTTTTTCGTTCTCATGTGTCACCTCCAGAAGATAAAACATGTAGATATATCCGAGAATCATATTATCAAGTTAATTCACATATTCAAGGAAGTGTCTTCTACTTGACGAAATCAAAATCCACACGGTGCTTTAGGATGGCTGGTAATTATGAATTAGGGTTTAGAAAGAGTAGAAAATAGAGAGAATATTATCATTGAGTTGCATAGATACAACCTGTCACAAATAGGGAAAAACCACTTGTTTATATAGAAGTGGATTACATAATTAAAGTGGTTCCTAGTTAGAGTAGGTTTACTAATAATAAGTAATTTGCGATAAGGCCGTGGCTTAACTTTCAAGTAACCCGACCCAACTCTATTAAGGCTAGGGTTTAATTTCAGACTCTACAACTGCCCCTAGCAAGTCATATTTCTGAGACTTGATAAAAGAGATATGGGTTGCTATAAGTGTTGATGACTTCATGAATTGCGTCATGATGTCCAAGTTCTCAAACTTTTTTTTCTCGAGTGTCACCTACAAAAGATAAGACATGTAGATATAACTCTCCGAGAATCATGTTCTTGAGTTAGTTCACTTATTTGAGAAGTGTCTTCTCAGATGTTTGTATCTTCGAGTAATATGATCTCGAACATGTTATTTTATTAGTATTTTTATAACATAAGATGAGAGTAGATTGCCTCGAGAAGGGCTTGTGTTAGAGAATACTTTAGTATCTTGAAGGAGTCCTTTGATCGTGCTTAAAGAAAAGCTATTGCTATATAATAGAAGTAGTCTGCAAATGATAACAAAGATACTAAAGTATATAAAGGTTTGAGAAGTACCTCTATCTCAGGAAAAATTAATTATCGTAGAAGGTTTATATATTACCTCAAATCCGAGAATGTAGTATTTGACCAGCTAAGCCTTGATATACTTATATTTTATCTATTTATTATATTTTTCTAATTTGTGATTTTTGCAAAATAATTTGAGTATAAATGTGCTATTTATATGATTTTATCTTTATTTGTAGGAATTATACTCAAAGGAAGAAATTATTGAAGTTTTGGACTGAAATCGCAATAAAGAGCAACTTATGGAGCAAGACTGAAGATTTGAATGATTGATGAAGAAGAAAATCTGGCCAAAAACTTGAATTCCGCATGGACACATGAAAAAGAGGACTGAATTGCAAAGTTAAAGAATTTCAGGGGTCAAATTATATATTTTGAAAAATTCAAGGATAAACTACAATTTCTGAAGCTATTATGGACAGCTCACATGAAAGAGTCGGTTTTCCCCTCATCAATTATTCCAATCTTCATTTCGACCTCTTTTGGTTGCTCTTTATCTCAACTTTAGCTCAAAACTCCAACAATCTCTTCATTTGAGTAGCATTCCTACAATCAAAGGTAAAATCACATAAATAGTATATTTATACTCAAAAATATTAGTAAAATCTCGCATAAAGAGATATTAAATATAGGTAAATTATATGCACATCAAATACCCCCAAACTTGAAATAATGCTTGTCCTCAAGCATTCCCAAGAATTAAAACAAACAAAAACATTTACCATCACAAACTGAGATTGAATGTGAAGAATTAGAAAAGACTTGTGAAGAGATTAAAACTCCAGATATTGCAAGTTCTTTTGATTCTTCTGGAGTATATATTGTAGTGAAGCATGACTCTCTTATTTTGCGAGTCGGTGACAAAGATGTGAATCAAGTTGATTTTGATAAGAACAACATTCCTATAGTTTCAAAAGAGGATTTTCCTGTAGAAAAATGTGGTGAGTTCGTCTCTGGTATAGGAGATAGTGTGGATGATGCAAAAGATGATTCAATGAAAGACCAAGAAGAGGATCAAGAAGAGGATCAGTGGTACAAGATTGAATTTGAGAAAGAAGATATAGTGGTCTTAGAGTATAAATTTATATTTTCTCATGGAAAGGAGAGCCACTGTTAAAGATCCATCAGTGTTGCTGAACATGGTTTCTTCTGGTATCGTGATGG